AGTGCCAGACCCACGCAGCCCGCCCTCTCCTTGCGAACCTAGAGCCACCCAGGTTCATCAAAGAACCCAAGGACCAAATTGGCGTGTCGGGGGGTGTGGCCTCCTTCGTGTGTCAGGCCACCGGCGACCCCAGGCCACGGGTGACCTGGAACAAGAAGGGCAAGAAAGTCAACTCTCAGCGCTTTGAGGTGAGTCGGGGCGCACCCTCTCTCAGGGCCCCGTAGCTTGGCCACGGAGGGAGTCACAGGCGGGACCCAGGTGGGGTGACCTGGCTGGGCGGCCTCTCCGAGGTGGCCCCTCCCACCTGGGCCCCTGCCAGGCTCCGGTGGTCTGCCACCCGAGCTGTGTGCCCTGAGCAAGGTCCTGCTCTCTCTGAGCCCTGGCTCGTGCCAGGAGTCTGAGCGCAGCCTGCAGTTAGACGCGAGTGCACCAGCATGCCTTCCCATGCTCACACCTGCCACACGCAGTGCAGGCCGGTCCCTTCTCCCGGGTGTCCAGGCCTGGGTCTGCCCACCGCGTGCCCACCTGGATGCCCGCACATGTGCACACAGCCTGGGACCATGGGGTGACCCCCTTTCCCCCCGCCCAGCTGGACGGGCCCTGCCCACCCTGGCCTGGGCTCACCCTGTCCTCTCCGCTGCCCACACAGACCATCGAGTTTGACGAAAGTTCGGGGGCCGTGCTGAGAATCCAGCCGCTGCGGACGCCCCGAGACGAGAACGTGTATGAGTGTGTGGCCCAGAACCCGGTGGGGGAGATCACTGTGCACGCCAAGCTCACCGTCCTCCGAGGTATGGGCTCCCGGGGCAGGTGGCCAGCAGCTGGGCTCTGGGCTTGGGGAGGGACACTAGGAGTCCCTGGAAGTGACGCCAACCTGCCTGCTTTGGATTCTCTGTGGAGGACTTTGATTTTTCCTTCCCCATCCCATAATACTGTGGGGCCCAGGGCCTATGGTTGGGGTCTGTTCAGCCTTCTTGGGAAAGGAGCACTGAGCGACTGTCGTCACTTCACTGTGCTCTTCTGATGACAAGAGGCAGCTCCAATTCAAACCAGTTCAAGCACAAATGAGATTTAATACGTTTGTGTAAAAAAAAGTCTGTGGCGGATTCTGTCTGGCTTCAGGTTCAGCTGGATCCAGGGGTTCATTCAGGGTTCTCAGGGCTCAGCCTCTCTGCCTCCTGGCTCTGTTTCCTTCTGAACTGACTTGATCCTTGGCGAGACTCCTCACCCCGGTTAACCTGGGTCACCACCCGCCCTCCCAGCTAATCGCTGCAGCTTAGGAGGAACAAACTATCTGATTGGCTTGACAGTCCCCAGAGCCACAGGTGATCAGCTCCCAGAGATGGTTTAGTCATGGAGGTTCCCCCAAAGAATGAAGGCTGAGTAGATGCGTGGCCAGCCCCTGTCGCTTGGCATGCACACCGGCCCGTGAGCCACCTCCTGGTTTGGCTCAAATGGGTTGGAGTCCACCAAGAAATTGTTTTCTCATCACTCAGGCAGCTGTCCCACACTCCAGGCAGCTGCCACCCTCTGTGCCACGCTGGGTTTCAGCCCTGGGCCAGCCTCCGGCCTCTAGGTCTCTAGAGACAATCACTCTGCAGCTGTGTGACCTTGATGGAGTTAATGAGCCTCTCTGAGCTGCAGTTTTGGTCTCTGTCCAGTAGGGTAATGTGTGTCTAGCACAAGCGGTTGTTCCATGACCCAGATGAGAGGGTGTTGCAGGAGGCACAGTGCCACCGTGGACAGTTAGCGTTTTCATCACCAGCTTTAACAGCACGATTGCCACCAGCCCGTCTGCAGCCCTCAGGCGAGGGGTTCAGCCGTGGGTTGGAGCCATGGGATGTCCCAGCCACGGGCGTGAGCCACAGGCAGCTGTCAGCTGAGGGTGGCTCCCTGGAGGGACAGTTCTGTGGTCTGCTAGGGCAGCGGGCAAGGTGGCATCCCTGGGCCCCGGAGCCCCTGGGCTGGCAGACAGGCTGCGGTCACGGAGGACTGCCCGGGGGCCCTCGGCTCTGTGCCCTGCTGTCCCCCCTGGAGGTTCCTGCTCGTCTCCTGAGGAGGCCCAGCTTGGTCTGCAGCGAGGGGGCCTCCCAGGGCGCTTTCGGCTGACCTTTCCCGGCACACCGCCAGCCCCTGCCCGACCCGCCCACCGCTGGGGGCTCCCCTAGCCCCGGCCTGGGGTCTGGACAGCTCGGCCCTGGGCTGCCCTGTGGCCTCCGTTCAGGCCTGCCCCCAGCTGAGCCACAGCCCCTCCGGGTGGCCAGGGCCATCCCTGTGCCCCTTCCTCCAGCGGCCTGCCCCGTTGATTAAACTCCCAGGAGCCGCCTGGTGCGGGCCAGCGGGTCTGTTTAATTAGGAGCTGGGGCCTCCCCTGCACCGAGGGCTGCTGCCCACAGCTCTCGGGACCCAGCAGGGCTGTGCGCACGCGGATGGGGGCGCTCACAGGGCTGGAGCAGCGCCCGTGGCTGGCCCCAAGCGGGACACCCCGGGAGCCCGCGGGCAGGCAGCGGTGCCCACAGGGAACAGGAGAGGCTGCTGCTTAGCCTGAGCCTCCGTGATGTCATCAGCAACCAATCAGAGCTGCCCGTGAGGCCGCCCCGCCCCCGCCCCCCCCACCAGGATGGATGGGTGGGGCCCAGACCCCCGGGGACAGACCCCAACCCCTCAGGCCCCGTGGGTGCAGCTCCGGCGCCTCGCCCTCCCCCATCCTGCTGTGGCCCCGGCTTCCCCACCCCCCCAACACAGGCGTGGCCTTCGAGGAGGGCACGGCGTCCTCTGCCCACAGCAGCTGGACGCGGGACAGGAGCTTCTGTCCTACCTCTGTCCCCAGCCACCCCCTTCACTGTGCCCTGTGCCCCTTCTGGACATGTTTAAGCAAGTACGTGGGTGACCGTTCTGGGCCCTGCAGGAGGGGGCTTCACAGAGAGGAAGTGGCGGCCAGACCCCTCTCTCTGTTGTCCCAGCGGGAGGCCTGCCACCGATGGCGGGAAGGGCGGCAGGGTGGTGGCCCTGAGACTCTGCCGCCCCCTGGTCCATGTCTTTCTCTTGGACGCGGCCACTGTCAGTGCCTCCTGGGCTCGGCCACGGCTCCTGCTTGCTGGGGTGTCCGTCCGCGGGTGGCATGTGTCCCGGATGGAAGCCACTGTGGCCCCTGCCTCAGGGGCTTCCTCGCCTCGGGAGCTGCGGGTGGACTCGGAGATGAGGCCGGGGCTGCCCCACTGCGCCCAGGGCTCCGGGGTGGCAGGCGCCATGCTGTCCCCACCAGCACCCCCTCTGGCTGTGGCTCAGTTCCGTCAGCACCGTGATGGTCACTTTAGCTCTTGTCCTTTGTGTGGGTCTGCCCAGCCTCCTGAAGCCACGACCTTAGAGAGGCCCATGGTGCAGGCCCAGGCGGCCCGGCTGCTCCGGCCTCTCCTTGCACCGTCCGCCACCTCCTGAGTCCTCGCAGCCGCCTTCTACAGGCCCTGTCCCGTGTCCCCTGCTGGTAGGGCCCCTGTTGAAGATGCCATCGTGCCCTGATCCATCTTTAAAGGCCGGCGTCCGCCCAGCCCTCCTGAGGTCCTGGGGTCCAGGGCTTCCACGTGGGGCTAGAGGCCATCGGCCACAGCAGAGGAGCCAGGGGGCCGGCTAGAGAGCGAGGGCACCGTGGAGCAGGGCCCGCCTGGCTGCAGCCCAGCGTCCAGCCAGTGGAGCTGGGCCACTGGGCCATCGCTGTGGGCTGCAGACCCTGGATGAGGCCACCCTCCCGTCAGCGCCCCCCCCCGGGCTCTCACCACGCCCCCGCCATGGCCGCTGCGGGGACCCTTCCCAGCAAGTTCGTGCCCCCATTCCATTCCCCCCACATTACTGTCCAGGGGCACCAGACCCTGGCCGGCCAGCGGGGCCCTGGGCAGGGTGCGAGGGACCCAGCTGACACGGCTGTCCTGACACGTGACAGGCAGGGGGTGACCCTCTGAGAAGATGTCAGAGCCCAGGAGGTCCGGACCAGGGAGCTGGCTCGGGATGGGGGACGGGCCTGGGCGCCGTGGCCAAGGGTGTGTGGCGCCACGGGCTGGGCTGCAGGGAGGGAGGCTGGGGGGCAGCGCAGGGCGGCCGCCTGACCCCAGGTTTGACGCCGGGTGGCCGTGCGCTGGTCAGCGTGGCGCAGCCTCCCTGGACCTCACCTGCCTGGGGCCGGGACACCCTTCCTGCTGGACACCAGAGGTGTCCAGGCCTGCCGCGTGGCCCCAGAGCTGTGTCACCCTGTGGAGGGCAGTTGGCCCAGCCCGTGGTCCTCCCACGCGGGCGGGTGCCTGGTTCAGAGGCGACGGCGGCTCTGCCGGCTGCCGGCGCCTCCTCTCCACCCTCCGCCTCCCCCCTCAGAGGACCAGCTGCCCCCCGGCTTCCCCAACATCGACATGGGCCCGCAGCTGAAGGTCGTGGAGCGGACACGCACGGCCACCATGCTCTGTGCCGCCAGCGGCAACCCCGACCCCGAGATCACCTGGTTCAAGGACTTCCTGCCTGTGGACCCCAGCGCCAGCAACGGGCGCATCAAGCAGCTGCGATCTGGTGAGCACGGTGCCCGCGGGGCGCGGGGCCGCGGGACGGGCATCTCCAGGCCGTCCGTGCAGGGGTGGCCAGCAGGAGGGTTGCCCCCGTGGGCGAGGGGGCGGCTCTAGAGGGCAGGGAGTGTCTCCAGGCTCAGTGCTGACCGTGAGGAGGTGCAGAGCACGTGGACAGTGGACCCAGAGGAGTGGACACCCGGGAAGCCCTGGGCACAGACGGGCAGAGGTGGCAGCGGGCCCGGGAGGCCATCTGCCTGGGTGCATGATGGGAGGGCAGGTGGCAGGTGGCGCGGAGAGTCTTCGGAGGCCGAGGACCCAGGACAGCTGCCCAGGGCCCTGGCAGTTGGGGGCAGTTGGGGACAGGGGACGGTGTTTCGGGGTCCGAGGCAGTGGGTGTCTCCAGGGGGTTGGGGCCAGACCCAGAGGGCATCGGGAGCACGAGGACTCAGGGTGCCCCAGCACCGAGGCGGCAGGGCCTGTGGGCACAGCCGAGCAGGCCGTACCCGGGCTGAGCACTGCCGGCCAGCTGGGCGGAGGCGCCACCCGAGCCTCCCCCCGCACCCGTCGGCCGGTTGGGCTGTGTGTGTCCTGTCCGTTGTCCCTGCTCTGTGTCCTGTCTGTGTCCAGCCCCTGGTGCTGGCCCGACCTCCTCCCCGCGTGGCACACGAGGTCCCTCCGCCTTCCCCAGCGGGTCTTTCCCACCAGCCTCTCTCATGGCGCCCGACGGTGGCCTGGGCACCACCTTCACCGTACCTCCTGCTGCCCTCGCTTGGGGACACGCGTGTGACGGCCACAGTGCACGTGTGTCCGGCCCGGGGCTGGTGTTCCAGAGGCGGAGAGCCCGGGGCTCCTGCGGGTCCCTGTGCCCGTGCCCGCCCTGCAGCCCAGCCCAGCACCGGCGGGCATGGCCAGCTCATGGGCCAGCTCGGGTGGCTCCACGTCGCCCTCCCCAGCCTCAGTTTCCCCGTGAGAGGTGCCCACCCCGTCCAGGGGTGCCCAGCACGTTCTCCGCCCCAAGACGCAGGCTGCACGTCAGCCGTGACCAGGGCTGTCAGCCTGACCCCTCGGCCTCCGGGGCCGGCAGCACCCTTAACGGTCTCTTCTCTTCTCTTGTCCCCTAACGTTCAGAGACCTTTGGTAAGTCTGACCCCGCCAGCAACTAACGCCTCTGGTCCCCACCCTCCCAGACTAACAGCCACCGTGACAGTAACCGACCCACGTGTGTGGCATGTTCACTAACCCGACCCCCACGGCCACCCCTCCCAGCCGGTGCCAGGGCATCGGAGACCAGCCCCGGAGGAAAAGAGGAAAAGGAGGGCCCTGGGGTCCCCGTGGAAAGCCCCCGGTGGCCAGCCCTGGGGCCGGGCTGACCTTTCCCAGCCGGGCGTCCTCGTCACCCTCCGCTCCCAGCCCCAGCCTGGGCACCCTGGGCCCGTTGTCACTGAGGTGAGAGTGGCCGGCCCAGGACGGCGGAGGTCCGCCTCTGGCTTCCCCGCGAGGGGAGCAGGCCCCGGGGAGGGCTGAGAGACCTGCCCTTTCTGCTCGGTGGTGGCCGTGACAGCTCGGCCCAGTTCCTGCCGTGGTCACCCGAGCGCAGCGAGACAGCGAAGCAGGAGCCCGCGGGTCCCCTCCAGCTCCCTGGCCTGGCCTCCAGGAGTCCCCCTTGGCCTCTCAGGAGGGCGGAGAGCGGCCCTAGAGGGCTGGCGCTCCCAGAGAGAAGGTGGGCCCCAGCCGGTCACCTCCTCTGCCTCAGGTGGCCTGGGGTTCCCCGGGTTCCCTGGCCCAGGCCACGGGGAGAGCTGCCCTCGGGTGCCCGTCCGGCTGCGCAGGACGGCCGCTCTGCCTTGGTCTCGGGCCTTCTGGGCCCGGTTGTCCTCCTGTGGCCAGCTGCTGTCACAGGGGCTGGGCTAGCCAGGGAAGAAGAGCAGAACTGTGAGGTCCAATCCGGGTCCCCAGGTGTCCCCTCGGCGGCCCGCCCTTTCCTCTTTTCCTCCGGGAGCTGGACAGGCCCTGGCCCCCATCCCGGCTCCTCCCGCCCTCCTCCTGTCTGTGACCTCCTTAGCTGCTGCCACGCCCAGCCCCGGGCACTAACCCCTGCTGTCCCCGTCTCTAACAAGACCGAGACCCCTTGCTCCCCTCCCCGCCTTCCCAGTCCAGACTCGGGCCTTCAAGCAGCCCCTTGCTGGACCCCAGGAGAGAAGGGGGTCGGGGCCTCCTCCCTCCCCCAGGGCAGGGCCACTCCGGCCCGCAGACCCCTCCCGTGGGAAGCCTGCTCTGCCCACCTGTCCTGCAGCCAGGCCTCCTGGGTCTCCAGGCCCCGGCTGGCCTGCCGCCCCCGGCCCCCGGCCCCCCTGACATTCGCCTGGTCTCTCTTCCCTTGCAGAGAGCACTCCGATCCGAGGTAAGAGGCCCGCTCCCGCCGCCCTGCCCAGGTTCCGGGCCCCCAGGCCCCCACTCCCACCACCCTGCAGTGTCCTCCTGTCTCTGTGTCTGTCTGTGGCCGGGCGAGTGCGGAAGTGGGTGGCCGCCTGCTGGGGGGAGGGGCGGCACCTCCTCGCCACCCAGGGCCCTGGCAGAGCCCCTCTGCAGCCTCCGTTCTGCCTCTCTGAGGTCAGCTGCAGAGCAGCCTCTGGATGTGACCATCTGGGGTGTCCAGCCCGAGGGAGCCGAGGCAGGCACTGTCAAAGGACAGGATGGACGCTGGGCCCGCCCTCAGCACTGCCTCAGAGGCGACTCCGTAGGCCTGGGTGGAAGCCTAGGAAGAATGCTGTGTGACCTAGGGCGGGCTCCCTGCCCTCTCTGGGCCTCACAGTGATCTCCACTGCCCATTACCTCAGAGTCTGAGGTCGGGGAAGAACATAGGTATTTGTTCTATAGGGGCCTCTATCTGCTGCCCCCAAAGAGGACCTCCCTGTCTGGGGTCCATGCCACTTCTTAGGACAACCGTAAACAGCTCTGGTTTGGGGCTCCTGTGCCATGGGTTCTGGTGAAGCTCGCAGCTCTGACACCGCGGGAGCCTCTCTCGCCTTCCTTAACTCGCGGCCGGCGGGCCCTTGGGTCCAGGCTGTGACCATACGTCCCAACGTACCTTCACGGAGTTTAGTTCTTGCCAAACGGAGGCCATGGACCCCCGTGTCTCGTGGGGTGTGGGTGAGCGTGTGTCCTGTGAAGGCCTGGGCTCCGGGCACACGGCCTCGCTGTGACATGGGGACACGTTCCCGTTCAGGCTCCACAGCCCTGGGGGTCTCGGCCTCCTGTTCACTAACTCCGGCCACCGACTTGGTCTGCGACTTCAGCGACTCCTTAACGTGGGCAGAAGTGGAGTCTCGTCGGGGCCTGTGCCCTCAAACACAGCGAGGGGACGGCACGTGCCGCTGGGCACCGAGACCTGGCCTCAGTGCCTGCCGTCTCAGACGTCTCTGTCCACTCGTAAGCAGCCCGTGCCCAGGTCCGGGCCTGTGGTTCTGGCCTCACTGGGCCACCCAGCCCCAGGTCAGCTGTGAGTGTAGTGGCCTCCGTTGGCCGACCTCTGCAGCCCCGCGCCACCGGGCCTTGGGCTGGGCCCACAGTGTCAGGCACACCGAGGGGCACCAGGACCTTGGGTCTCGGCGCCTGGTGTCCATGGGTCTTCGTGTCCAGTCACTCATTTGGAGGACTTGGGTGCCAGGAGGCCTGGCCCCTGCGCAGTGTCCAGACAGTGGCTCTGGTCCAGACTGAGGCCAAGCATGCTTGGTGCGCCCTGTCCTGGTGGCTTTACCTCAGCCATCGTGAGGTGACACTGCTCCGCGTGCTCACAGGCACCCCGTGTGGAGACCCCATTGCACACGCACTAGGGGACGCGGACCGCGGGTTGGACTCCGGTGCTGTCGAGCGGCTGCAGCCTCCTGGATTCGCAGTCGGCGTCTGTTGGCCCTGAGGCCTGGGGTGCGGGGCTTTCTCACGTCCACCCCAGCAACATGGCCACCTGCTGCCCGTCTGGGGGCTGGGCCTGGCAGCGCGGCCCCGTGGGCAGCTCCCTTTCAGCGAGAGCGGAGGATTTGCCGGGCACCCTGGAGTGTCCAGTCAGCCCAGCAAGTGGGGTCCGGCGGGCCTGCGGGCCTGCCTTGTGTCGTCACCCTCCAGCTGCGCCAGCGCCAGAGACGGGCCAGCCGGGACTCGGGATGGCCTCCCAGCGCGGCCGGCCCCCCTCAGTGGCCAGTTGTCCCTCTCCCCGCAGGGGCCTTGCAGATCGAGAGCAGCGAGGAGACCGACCAGGGCAAGTACGAGTGCGTGGCCACCAACAGCGCGGGCGTGCGCTACTCCTCGCCCGCCAACCTCTACGTGCGAGGTAGGGAGCGCGGCACCCAGGTCCCCGCAGGGCCCCGCCTCCGGCTCCCCCACCCGCAGACCCGCAG